GATAATTGGCTCAAACCTTTTTTGAGTGATGTGATTAAAAGATCTCCTCACTGTTGAAATGTTGTTTTTGAAGAAAAGTATGTATAATATTTAAGGAAGATGTGTGTACTGTATGTAACAAGAAGTTATGATTTGTAAGAAAATCGTAAGAGAAGCCTTAGAGGGTTATGATGAAATGCTTAGACTTTTGAATAGACTTCCTTATTTAGCTCTCAGTTGAATAGTTGGAAAACTTGAATGGAAAGAGTGAACACGTATTCATTTAATAGAAAACATTTGATATAGAACCCACTTAATAAAAATATTTAATAACAATAATTTGAAAGTGACAATAAGATTTGTAAAAAGGGAATGCAGTATACAGTAATAAAAAATACAAAATAACTTTAAACAACACCTTAATTAAAATTAGTTTAATTATTTATGATACAGTAAACTATCCATCGCATATACTCTAGTTACTTGTTTATTAAGCCTGTGCCGGCACTGAGCAATAAATAGTGTGTGAATGCTAACCCTAACCCTAGCTGGGGCTTCAACTGAGCAGTTGCGCAATCATCTATGAACCCTTCCATTAATCGGATTTTGACATGTTCCTCCAATAAAATTGTATGATTGAGAAACAATTTAAACCATTGATCGAAGCTCTTTCAAATGCATTAGATTCCCTAACATCCTCTTTCAACTTCTATCCCACTGATTCAGTTTTGTGATGGAATCACTGAACGTTGAAGGGTGCCATCCAGGCACCCAATAGTTTCTGAAAAACAAATTTTCAGAAAGGAGCAAAAAAACACTCGTTCTTAAGCAGGCTTGGGCCCAAAAATCCGGCGCTGAGCATAAAAATTGACAAAGCAGTGTGTGAATGCTAACCCTAACCCTAGCTGGGGCTTCAACTGAGCAGTTGCACAATCATCTATGAAGCCCTCCAGTCATTGGATTTTGACATGTTCCCTGAATAAAATTATATGACTGAGAAACAATTTAAACCATTGAGGAAAGCTCTTTAGATTTCCTAATGTTTTCTTTCAACTTCTATCCCACTGACTCAGATTTGCGGTGGGATTACCAAACGGTACAGCACACCATCCAGGCAGCCAAGAGCAATCTGTCAGAAGAGTTTCTGAAAAAAAATTTCAGAAAGGAGCAAAAATCACTTGTCCTAAAGCTGTCTTGAGCCTCAAAGTGTGAAAAAATCCTTATAACTTTAGCATCACTTCCAACGAATGATAATTATGTCTTTGCAATTAACCTAAACCACAGACCAGTTGAAACACATTGTTTGGGACCCAAAAGAGTCATCTGCGACCACACGGATTAAAGATTGTTTTGTTTTTTGTTTAGCATTGATATTTGTGTGATGAAAATGAGCATACAAATAAGGTTGAAACAATTTCGCTGTCATTTCTTTCAAGAGACACTCATCCGTCACTTGTGAGCTAGACATAGACCACTTCTAGGTCAGCCTTTTTTAGTTTAGGTTACATTTATTTTTTTCATGGATTCTAACAGTTTTGCAAAACTTCCAAACTACTGTACAGTATATATGCAAACTGAAGTTGAGGTCACATACTCAGTCATATACTGTACCTATTTTTGTGCTTTTGTTTTGAACTTACCATTTAGGAACATAAGAATATAAGAAAATACTAACAAGAGGAGGCTACTGATTAGACTACTTATAGCTAATTGATCCAAGAATCACACTCACTTTCTGATAGAAGCCAGGGCTTCAGCCTGCACAGCATGATTGAATAGTTTTTTTTCTCAAATCCCACAACTCTCACAAAATACTTTTAAATAGTGAGCTCTGTGATTAAATGGAAGGATAGGTACTGTAATTCATAGAGATGTGTTTGTTCTAGGAGAAAAGATGCATACTGTATGCTCATGCAAAGAACCTAAATCTATCTTTCATATACTGTATAGACTGAGTGTTCACCATTCAGTCTATACAGCAAGCCTTTGCTACTGTACATTCTGAGGAGATTATGCTTCTAAATAAAAATATCACAGTGCATTGTGACTGCCCTCTCGATCTGAACTTTTATGCTGCAAGACAGAATAATGGATCAAAATAATAAATTGGATAGACTGCAGACAGATAAAACTGAAGAGTAATGTGCTAACAATTTACATTCAGCTCACATTAACAGCTAGACCAAGGAAGAGCAAGGTTTTCTCTGTGGTTTACTGAAATTGAGCAATACTAAACCGATCCATTAAAAATATTAATTTTAAAGACTGCTGTAATCATGCATATCAAAGTAAAGAATGTATTGAATATGATTTGCTTCAAGCTCTATTTTTTTATTTTTGCAGAAGATAATGTTGCTTTAGTAAGATATTTAATGTGTTCTTTCCTTTTTTGTGTGTCTGGACTTTGGCTCGCCATGCTGTAAACACAGGATGTAATTTCCAGCTTGATATTTTGGATTTAGTTCTTTGGAAAACTGTCTTTGATAAAAACCTTCTCACCCACTGCTTCTTCCCCAGGGGGGAACAGTTCTCCTTGATCCTGCCTCTGCCTTTTAGTGCTGAAGACCTTCGATCTATAACTCTGCTGCATCAGAAATTGCATTTTGCCTTAAATGTGTTAGCCACTGAGGAGGAAACCTTTGGAGATGAATGTGTCTCTCTTTTCTGATACTTGTCATTGATATTAGCAAATACCAGCAGACCACCAATGCAGTTTCCAGGTCACTGAGCTGTGTATAAGGTCTAACAGATGTATTTCAGTATGAGTATTTGTTTCATGAGTGAGTAGAGTGAGTGATTTTGAATTCCATCATGCCAACAAGACATTAATGACTGTTACTCAAGTGAGGTGTTAGTGCCATTCTTTATGCAAGATGTATATGATTCATTTATTTCACTATCTGGAAAATTATCTCAGAGCTTTGCATTACTTTTTTTTCTACATAGTGTAGCAATCTGGGACTCCATTTTTGCAGCTGAATTTGCTTGATGGAGAAATTTAGTTCAAGTGCTCCTAGTTGAGATTAAAATCCATGGGTTTTACGTCAGGAGTCCAGACACCTATCAAGTACTCCAGATTGTCACCCCTGTGCTCATTTCATAATAGACAACGCAGAGACACTTGGATGCTCTTTTTAAAGCACAGTACATGCTCATGTGGCCCGTTTTGTGAGTTACTGTATCATAAGCCCATCCCAAGAAAATTCCTGATGCAATAAAACACTGGACTTGTCAGGTATCTGTACTCCTTACAGAGTTGTCAACTAGAGCTGCATCATTCTTCAGTCTAGTTTATTATCCTACACATATACTACAGTATGTGACTCACACTATATTTTCATTAATAAAACATGGTGGATATCTCCAATAAATATGTTTCTGGAAGAAAACAAAGACATCTACTTTGATTGTTTATGTTCTTCATTTCTGCATATTGTGGGCAGTTTCTTGAGCTCTTTTCAGTTATTCACCTCAGACTTAAAGATGTAAAAGAAATCTGGGTGAGGTTGCTCATGTAATTACCAAATGTGAAAAGTTTTAAGACCAATAGAAAAAAGATAAGATAATAAAAGAAAAAGATAAAAGATAACTGTAAGAGATGTATCACCTGTTTAAGAGTCTTCAGAAAGGGAGAGATTTCATGGATTTAAAATGCCCTTTTCTTGACTTTATTATTTAAACCAATTGCACTTCCAGTCCTTAGGAAATTACTGTAGATACTTGTACTTCTTTAGTTACAATTATTTTTCTTACAGATAAGCTACTTTAAAATGTTTAGCCTGAGGCCACAGTAATTAATATCTGAATACTGTATGACTGTGAGTATTCTGCTTCCGTAACAGAAATTCCCACTTTGTATTATTTGCATCATTTTCTTAAAATTGTTCAGCCCACAAATCTATTGTCTTTATAAATCTTTTCTAATTTTTCTGCCAAATATAAATCTGTACTCCATGTTTATCTTTTTTAACTGAATGATAGCAATATCTACATTTCCTGAGAAAGTCAATATTATGATCATTCATAATTAAGCCTATTCTATTCCACCTCAATCGGGTGTATTTCAGACACATTTTACATTTGTTTAAATGATTACATATTTCCGTTATTTAAAAATAAATAATTATAACACGTGTCTGTGTATAAACAGTACATATACACTAGTAGTCAAAATGATTGGGTCACTTGAAATATAATGAAGATTGGAATAAGCCCCTTATCTACTTAGAAAGGTTCTTAAAAGGGTTACTTTAATTTCTGCTGCCATTTTAACCTACAATTTTCTATCATTCTTGTTCATAGTAAAGGCATTCTGTCTCACGTTTAGAAGTACAGTATATCACTGTCTGTTGTTAACACAGCCCAAATCATTTCCACAGCATTGTATCTGCTAGTTGTACTCTTCTCCTCTACAATATATGCTCCATGCTGGATTACAGTTTTGTCTTTCTAATTTAAGAAATCAATGTTTAATCAAGTTTAGTTTATTATTTAATTTTTAATAAAAGATTTAAGTTTCTGAGTCTATATCAGAGGATCTCACAGCCTTTTTGTTTTTATCACAGCTCCTGTTTGTAAGCTTTTGTGAGATCTCATCTTCAGTATGTTACTCTGTTGACACTGTACATGGACATGGGCTACAATTACTAAAACCTAATTAATAACCAGGGCCTGGTGGCATTTTCCCAGCCATAGATAAATAAATAAGTATTCATAGACAGGATATTTCAAAGTCTTAATTAGAATATGAAATGTTCACACAGATTGGGCAATTGCAAATGTTAACACCACTGCATAAAAAGGGGAACAAACCTAAACCAGAACCATAAACTTATCTGTCTTACTTATATTACTGGTCAAGTTATATTAATGGTAGCTTGAGCTCATAAATGCATAAATGCTCATAAAATAAAAAAAAACATCTATTTTGACAGCAAACATCTTGTTCAGATGGCTTGTTAGAATAAATCACACAAGCCGGCTGTCTCATAAAAGTTTAATTCGCAAAACAATTTGAAACCCAAGTTAATCAATGCTCAAGGCACCGATTAACTAAGTCATCTTTTATCAAACGTACGTCACCAGCCCTAAGTTTCCCGTTGCTCAACTAGGCAAAATGTTTAATCGTATTATCTTCATTGTCACAGGCTTACAGTTTTTAATGCCTCTGATGTTATAATTCCAGTGATTTGCAACAGAGGAAAACAAAAACTCCTCCTGGTCGGATTGAGCTGTAAAAAAAGTACATTCTGTGATATGAATGAACATTACGGTCCATACAGTAGCTACACGATTTCCCCTGAACTTCAACTGTTATACAGAAGTTTTTTTTAGGGGGGGCTAAGACATCCATATACTCGATACTCGCAAATCGGACGTCACCAGGATCATCCATGTCTGGAAATTCACGGTGGATTGTCCAATGGGAAGGGAAGGAGGCCCCTCGGGAGGTCAGATGGAGTTATTTTGCAGACAATACTGTCCCTGCGAGAATGAGAGGGGCAGTTGTGATACAATGCCTTGGTCCTTGCTGTTTTGCGCCCTGTCGTGCTGCTCAGAACTTTTGGTAAGCGGATACTGTACAGTATATCTTTGAGGACCTCTTTAATTCTTTATAAAAACCGATGACTACATTGAAGAAGTTGTGAACTGATGTTTGGGAATTCAGAGCTCTTCCTAAGATTCAGTACGCAGCGTTGTCTTCCTCCTGCTTGTTCGATAACTTGTGTACTAGAGAGTGAATAATCGAAATATCTCCAGTATCGAATGCAATTACATTTTTTTGTGTATCTGTAACGCATGATGGCATTTTCTTCAATACAATGTGAATGTCTTCAAGAAAGTTGAAAGACCATATGCAAAACTGCAGCGTAAGTGACTGTCTTTGGACGCAGTGCGTCCATAAATGTACACAAGCAGTATACAGCCTCTATGGTTTAAATAATTTATCGGTCAAAAGGGCAGGCTGTGTGGAATACCGGGGTTACGAGCTGTTAAGACAGAGAAGAAATAAGACTTAATGAGCCGTACGGATCGAAACTTAAAAATAGATACTGTTCACTGTGCCTGTTCATCTGAAGCAGTGTGACAGCCGCATAGGAGAAAAAAAAAACAACAACCGGTGAATTCCGTATTACATTGCTTCTAGCTTTATAAAATAACTAATTAGTCTCCTTGCAATTTAGAGTTGTGGCTCTCCCTTATTCTCCTTCCCATTTTCTCCTTGTTTCTTCACAGCCGAAATTGTGAATTAGAACGCCAGTCCTGCTGTTTACAGTCTCCGACTCATCCGTTAACACGCCCGAAAAGACGAAGATCAGATTTGTTGTGATAAATTGACGGAAGAGCTCATGGTTTTAAAATAACCTTTTTTGACGCTTACAGTTTTTTTTTTCTCCCGTGTCATGGATCGTGCTACTTCGGATGAAAACCTGGAAATGTAGTTATTGAAGAGGATTTTAAATAGTATGTCGTCTCGTCGGTGGAATTGAACAGGTAGGCAAATTGCTTTCAAATGTCGCTTTATAATCGATTTAGAAAGAAGTTCTATAGATGACTTATCTCTGTTAGGGGGGGATGATGGACTGCTGCACCTTAAACATATAAGGCAGTTATTTTCACGCATATAGTCTATAACCTTATCTGGGGAACACCTATAACCTGCGTGTGCACAGTCATGAACTCTTAAAAGAATGAGTACATGTTCAGTACCGTGTTTACCAGCGCACCTTGCTCTGCTCGAGTAATGCCGAGCTAACGCTGTGGAAAAGTCTCAACTTGGTAAATTACATTGTTGCACCGTAAACTGAAAGTTCAGTCAGGGCTAAAGAGCAGCGATCGTCTGGAAACGAGGATGCTCTTCCTTCCCGTATTTATTTTAACCCCCTCCGTCTGATTTACATGAATGCGACCCTGCTAGTTGAGTTCACTTGTTTTTTTTCGAATCCCCTGTGTTTGTATTATTATTACCAATGTAATGAGAATTAATGAAGCGATGCATTTGACCTCACCGGGTTATGAATTCGTCTTCCTTAAAAAACAAACAAACCAATATTAAGTTAATAACGAATCGTATATTTAGCTAGGGTTTTGAGAGAGAATGACTAGCTGTATGTTTTGCCTTACAATGTATGATGCATTCTTAGAAAACCCCGGAGGAACGTCATACAAGCAAATCTGTTTTAAAAAAAAATGGGGATGTCTCTGTTTAGCTTAGCCAAGACAGATCATCTGGATAAACCACTTTAGTGCGTGCGTGTCTGTGCGTTCATAAGACTGTTGTGTAATAGCAGATTGACTAGAGGATCAGCCCCCTCAATCCCTGTTATTGTGAGATTTCTGTGCAGCTATTTCCCTGTGCACTACTGACACACAATTGTTCACTGGAATCGCTTCCAGCCGGCAAACATTTCCAACACGAGCAGACTACCGTTTACACGGTGTTCACTAGAAATTGCGTGGAACACGTATCAAGGCCACCATTTCCATCGCACCTGTCCGCAATGAAAGTTCTGACTTTATTTTTCAAAACTTGTTTCCCTGGGTGTCTCGGAACGTGTCTCTTTTTATATAGTAAAAGATAATAGGCCAAATTGTAACATTAAAGGGGATTTTTGCAATCCACATGGTTTGATTGCAGCTTTAGCTTTTTGTGTTGACTATACTGGGCATGAATTCACAAATATTTACTCAAGTTTCAATGCTGCACACAGCTCTCTGCAGAACACAGAACAGCAGCATTAGCTGTACAATTGATGTTGTAATTAATGGTTAAGGGTATGGTAGTTCCTTTCCATTTAATTTTACTTTAAGCATCTTTAAACACCAGAATGAGTGAAAGGGTGCTGTGTGTGCAATTGTATGGTAAAAGCAAAACTTGAACTCTTTGTCCAGTGATTGTGCTGCTAGACACTACTGTGTCTGTGTTGCTATCCAATAAGAGATTTAGTGGAATTTTCTAGACAATTGTATTCAGTATTTGTAGTCCTCTAAAAATACCTCAAAACATACCTTAATTTAATGAACGGTGACCACAAAGGAGGCTTTCCCGATATAATCTATGCATAAAACAAAAGTCATGTTGCTATATTTTAAACATAGTACGCTGTTATCCTACTAAATCACATTCATCTCAAACATTTCAGTTTTCACACATTTTGTTTGTTGTTTTTTTTCTAAATACAGTATTATAAATCACATATCTTCCTGAGGGCCTTTTGGACAAACAGAAATACTGTAGTTGTTGTAAAAAGGTTTTATTATGCAGTGCAAAAAGAGGATATTGTCCAATAGTAGCTTCAATAAAGTGAGCTCTATCGATACAAGAACAGTGCTTATCAATGCTGTCTTTAAGAGTATAAAGTTACAAACAAGAAGAGGCCGTTTGGCCAGTCCCAACTAACAGTGTCTTGAAAGACTCCTGAGAATGTGACAGGAAGAGAAACAGCAAAAGAAACTAACCAGTCTTGTTAATTGGAATGCGGAAAATAACATATAATTTAATATTATATAACATATAATATAATTTAATATTGGAGTGGGAATTGTAGTAAAGAAATTAGAGGATGATCAGAATGTATGCGCTTTTTAACTTCAGTTATTCATAGAAAGCTGTCTTACAGTATATCTTATTACTCACAGGCAGTTAGTGTAGAAACCACTTTTGTTTTCCGTTGCAGGATCCTCACTAGAGCAATCCATGGAAGGGTAAAGAAAAATGTGGAACAAGCTGTTTTATTTCAGTGCTGAAATCAGCTGTTTAATTCTGATTCATTTTTTTTCAGGTCCAGAAAAGTTTGGGAAATTAACGGTTAAACTCCCCATGTTTTAGACAATCAAAACAGAGCTGGGGCATCAAAAACCTTAGGATTTCTCTGTTCTCCCAAAGCTGCCAAATCTAAAAAAATAAAAAAAATTAAATCAGTAACATTCAGACATACCCACGAAGACGATACACTAAAAAGCCAGTTAGCTGTGAGCAGACTAATTTTCTTCCAGTTCAGTGCTGTATGGGTGGATTATCTAGTTATTCAATTAGAGTTTTCTCAGACCACTGTGTGTATTGTTACACATTTCACTTTACACTGTTAGTGTGGCGATATCTTCAATAGGATTTTGCAAGTCATTTATAAGATATATTAGTTTAAGTAAATTTGAACTTATTCTGAAATAAGCACAGTTATCTTAATTTTCCTCTTTCAAGTTCAAGTTTATTGTCATTATACTCATATACAGGTATATGGGATAATGAAATGCTATTTAGCTAGCTCTCAGATGATACGTATTACAAAAAAAACAACAATGCAATTGTATAATAAAAGAAAGACAGAGACAACAGGCAATGTGCAAAACAACATCAGATGTGTAAAAACATGCATCAACTGAAATAAAAGGATAGAAAACTATGGGGAGTGAGCTTTTTGACATGTAAGGTAGAGGTAGATTTCAATGTGTGAGTTTTTGGTAAGAAAGAAGGCACTGTGAGGTTCAGATCACAGGTGAGAGGTGAGAGGTGAGGTGAGAGAGGCTGGAAGTTTAATAGTTTGATAGTGCGGGGGTAAAAACTGTCTCCGAGTCTGGTAGTCCGGGCCCGAATGCTCCGGTACCGTTTTTCAGATGGTAGAGGGTCATACAGTCTGTAGCTGGGATGTGTGGGGTCTTTGATGATGCTTAGAGCTTTCCCCAAGCACCGTCTGTCATAAATGTCCTGTATAGATGGGAGGGCAACCCCAGTGATGGACTGGGCAGTTTCACCACCCACTGTAGGGCTCTGCGGTCAGCAGTACTGCAGTTGCCATACCACACTGGGATGCAACCTGTCAGTGTGCTTTCTGTAGTGCATCTGGAAAAGTTAGTGAGGATCTGGGGACATATCTTAGCCTTCTTCAACCTTCTTTCTTCTTTACCCTCAATTTCCAATATTTTACAGGTACTGCATTCATATTTTACACTGGAAATATTTTTTTTTGCATTTTGCATTAAGAACATGTAGCACTCTTATTTAATTAGCTGTACTTTGTTTGGCAAGAGTTACTTTGCCTTACTGCATGTCCTGTACCCCTCTCTGTTTCATTCCTGAAGACAATTGTGCGCTACCATTTGGGTCCTCGTCACAGTTGACTCATGGCTTAACCCAAGCTCAGATCTGCAGAGTTGGACTGCAGGGGCCAGCCTTTACTGCGCAGTGGTGATAGGCTACTCAGGAGCCCATAAAAAACAGCCTTAACTTTAGTGCTGACGACTCTGCTCATGTCACTGCAGAGCGCTTACATTATTCCCACAGGGATCCTTAATTCAGTTTTAATGGAACATTGAACTACATGTCTAATAATCAGTGTTGTATTCACACAGAAAGCTGAGTCGGTAATCTGTTTCCTCTCTTAATTCTCTTCTGAATCGAAGCACTTTGCTTTATTGTGGAACGTCATGTGGAAAGGTTGTATTTAATGATTAGAAATTAGTTCTAAGGCCAGCCTGCCAACAGGGGCAACATCGGCTTCATGGAAGACTATCACAGGAGAGAGATTAGATCATTGTACTGACCTTTAACCATTCAGATTGCTTTATTTAAGGCAAAATGTTTTCATAGAAGTGGCAGGGATGCTTGATGAGTTAAATTAGTTTTGCATAAATGAATGAGTTCCAGTCTGACTATTGAACATTAGTCTGCAGGAAAAATGTTTTTGCAGATTTCCATCTTGCACCTTTACAGTACATGCAATTTTGTTTTCTTTACTGACAACTAATTTTCTGAATTTAAATGTAGCTGTACATTTCTCCAGAGTAGAAAAGTTGGAGGTCATTTGGAAAAAGAGATAAACACCTCTAGATAATTTTAATTGCACACAAGAAATGCAAGATTTTTTATCTGAGACAAATTGATGCATTTATTGTAATTATTGTAGAATAATGGGCAGCATATTCAATATGTGTCAGCAGTGCAATTTTAGTCAAACAAAATGATCATCTTGTGTTGGTTCATTAAAAAATCAATTTAACTTACTGTGTAGTTCTGTACCATTGTACATTGTACTTTTCAATCAGACCCATTAATAATTAAATAACACTTACAGCTTTTTTGAAATTGATAATCTTTGTATAATCTCCCTGGAAATCTACTGCTTTGTTAATTTGTAACAGACAGGATTTAATTATATTTAAATACCTAAATACCTTTTTAAGAAACCTGAATGTATATTCAATAAAGAAACAGGAATAACTGTACTAATATGATTTTAATAAAAAAAAACTTAATTTGTTATAATATAATATCCATGCTTTTGCAAGTACTATACTGATGAAGTATAAGTAGTATTATTGACTATCTTATGTTAAGTATTTTTAACACCAATCAGAATCTTAGACAATTTGAAATACTCAAAGCTATACAGTATACAGTACATATATAGCATATCAAGGACAATAGATAAAACACCTGTATGAGGGACATGAAAATAGGTGTGGCCTAGAAGTAAAGGAGCCGATTTTAGCTGTGA